TGGGGAGCCCTCTGATGCTCGGCTGACCGCACAGCGGGGCCCTGGTGCCTTCCCGGCCTGCCCCGCTCCTCCTGTGGAATTTCACGCCTTTGTCCCGGCTCCGCTCAGCCTTCCCACCCTGCCCCAGTCACCAGTCTCTGCGTTCTCGCTCCTAACCTGTCCCCTGGACACCCGAGGTCCCCCCCCCCCCCGGGGCCGGCAAATACTGTCTGGGGTGAGTCCCTTAGCACGGGGCCAGCATACAACAGGCACTCAATGTGTGCTGCCTACGTCCGTCCCCAAGGCCACCTCCTCCAGGAGGCCCGCCCTGGCCACGTAGCCTGGGATGGGCGCTGCCTCCCTCAGCCTCCACTGCCCTGTCCTCGGGGCCTGCCGCACTCCAGGGGCACCCTTGTCATCGCACACACTTTGCCTGCACATTTGCTGGGCTTCCTGCGGGCCAGGCCATAGTGTCAGAGCAGACGGCTCCCTCGACCCTCCCCCCGGGCCGGGTACACTTTACCGTCACCCTTTTACAGAGGGGAAACCTGAGGCAGGGGGTTATGAGAGCAAACTGATGGACCTGGAGCCAAGAACGCGGGAGGTCAAATGCTGCTGTCCCTGCTGCAACCTCCTCGGTGTCACAAGGCAGATGAGCTCCTGGGGCAGGCAGGAGACACGGGGCACGAGCGTCCCCGGCCGGCGGGGTTTTCCCCTCCCTGGTGGCACAGTTGGCACGCTCTGCCAGCACCGCAGTGTGTGTGCCAAGCATCGCACGGTGCGTGTGCACAGATGTGTCCACACCTGCACGCCACCCTCACAGACAGCTTCGATGCCACGAGTGCTGCGGTATGGGTCGGTGCTGGGCGCTGGCCTAGTGTGTGCCAGGCCCGGGTTCCACCCCTGGCACCCAGAGCGAGGGGTCTTAGGGCTCATGTTCTGCGGGCTCCCGAGCTGCTCCTGGGCCTCTTCTCCCGAGCACAGCATGGGACAATATGTGACCTGGGCGGGTACCCTACCGCACACAGCTGCGTGCATGCGTGTGTGTGTGTGTGTGTGTGTGTGTGCGCGCGCGTGTGTAAAGTACGTATGCACCAACACTTTACAGCTAGATATTTATACAGTGCCTCTGAGTACATTTTAGGTGCACAGAGGACACATGTGACCTGCGTGTGATAAGCACGTGTGTGGAGCATGCTGTGTTCACACGCCGAGCCGTGCCTACGGGGGCACACAGAAGGGGGCAGTGGGGGTGGGGAGACAGCAGATTTGAGCAGAGCTGAATTCCGGTCCTGCCTGGCTCTGCCTCGCTGTGTGACCCAGGCAGAGTGTGCACCAGGAGCCGTGTGTGCTCACAGGGACGGCAGCAACGGGCATGCGTGTGTGCGCGTGTGAATCTGTGCACGTGCGGTGTGTGTGCGGGCTGACGGTGCACCCTAGGGGTGTGTGTGCACACCACGTGGAAGGACTGTGCCCCAGAAGCCCATCCTGGGCGGACCCTGGTCCAGAGCCCTGGCTGTGGGGAGGGGCTCTCTGGCTGTCAGGCCGGAGGCAAGTGAGGGGCGTGATGGAGCCCCGGCTCCCCCACCAGGGCTGCCAAAATACGGCGAGACAGGGTGTAATTACCAGCACTTACCGCGGCCATTACCCCCTCGCCGCTGCGCGTGACACACGACCCGTCAGCTTGGCGTTCGCGCCATTAAGGGGCCTCATTAGCATCCCGGCTCAGAAGCAAAATTACCCTCACCGCTCACTTCAAGATGTCATCAATTTTAATTTAGGGCCCAAAGATAGTACAATGGGAAGGCCCTGCTGCCGCAGCCGCACAGAGAGCAGGGGGCGGGAGGCCAGCGAGGGGAGAGGGGCGGACGGCAGGGGGAGGGGAGGAAAGGCCCCCCAAGGCCCTTTAAGCCCAGCAACGCTGGGAGGTCCACAGGGCCATCCCCCGCACGGATGAGGAAACTGAGGTGGAGAGGCTCCAGCACAGAGCGAGCCCACGTGAAATGTAGGCTGGCTGGTTCCACTGTTCTCTGGGGAGGGAGGGAGGGGTCTCCCGGGTACCCAGCCTTGCACACCGCGACCCTGCTGCAACACCCCCTCCCTGCTCAGGCCAGCTCACAGTCGGGGGTCTCTAACCCGGCCAGCCAGGCGCTGCTAGCCTCAGGTCAAGGACTCTGTCTGGGTTTAAAGGGACCCTGGGGGGGCTCCCACTCTCTCCCTCCACTGTTCAAATGAGCTGCTTCCGCTCTACAGGGGCTGGACAGGGCCACAAGTTGGCTATTTCAGCCTGTCTTCAAGAGCACAAGAGTGAATGTGCCACAAATGTTTGTTGAATGACTGCATGACTGAGTACATAAGCAAATGAGCTGCATCTGGGTCCTTCTAGGGACAGAAATCTTGGTTAGTCCTCCCCAGGCTTTGCAGCCACTGGCAGTCACATCAATACTCCTGGCTGGAGCAGAGTATCGCATCAATACTCCTGGCATACTCTGCATCCTGACAGTGACGGGGAACCTCCGGCCAGGAAGGAGTCTCTAGACTTGGGGGGTGCTTTCTCCAGCGGCGGATGGCACGGTCCTCCTCACCACCTCGGTATCTCCAGCCAGCCCGGCCAGTCTGTCCTGACTCACAGCAGGGTTCAGGAGGACCCTGAAGCCCATGGGCCCCAGTTTCCCAAAGTATAAAGGAGGAGGTTGTGATAGGCCACCGGAAGAGGGCCAGGGCCGGCGGGAAAGAGCGCCCTGCAACCACTAGGCCGCCCTCAGCCTCTGGTCCGGTCCCCCAGCCACCGGGCGAGAGGAGAGGGGGCCCCATCCTGAGCCCGAGACAGGGTCCTCACCAGCGCCAGGCACCGCTCCCCGGCCTCACCGAAGACGGATTGCTCCCTTAATCACTCTGGAAAAGAACCCCAAGCCGATATAATATTATAATTAATTAATTCACTAAAAAGGTATTAAATTCCTCTCCCCCCTGTGGATATTATCTGAATTCATTGACCTTTAGAAAAATCACGCTCTAATTGTAACCAGGTCCAAAAGCATTTGCAGCCCGTCCCTTTTACATTAATAATATCTGCCCAGACTCGGCTCCGGCGGCTTAAATATTGTATAAATTCCGCCGGCCCCATGGCAGAGAGAGCCGAGGAGGCCGACCCAGCTGGGAAGCGAGACGGCCCTGGGAGGGGTCAGGGCCTCAAGGGCTCAGCGGCCGCAGCCAGCAGGTGGCTGGGCGAACCCGGGGAGCAGGAGTGGTAAACTTGGGGTGGTTTTTTAGGAGGCTGTGTGTGCAGAGAGCCCGTAGCGTGCGTTAGTGGCCCCAAGTAATAAAGGAAGGAGCTCTGATTTTAAAGAACTGAGAGACACACACACAGAGATAGAGGGACACAGAGACAGAGAGACAGACAAACAGAGAGACAGAGAAAGGGTCAGAGAAACAGAGACAGAGAGAGACAGGGACAGAGGCCTTTTGCAAATGGGAAGGGACCCATAGATGGAGGCGCAGGAAAGCGCGAGAAGAACTAGCACGTATGACGCAGGCGCCACCTCCCGGGGGTACATGCGGTGACTGCACGGCAACACGGGTAATAAAAATACAAACACATTTTAAAATCTCTATCTCAACAATGAATAAAAAACAAAAGAACGTGGGCTGGTGGGAACCAGCGGAGCTCCAAGCAGGCGGACGCGAGGGAGTCCTGCCAGGGGGCGGGTCCTAAGTGAGCGGCGGGTCCTAAGTGAGCGGCGGGTCCTAAGTGAGCGGCGGGTACGGAGAGACGCAGGCCCCAGAGCCCAGGGCCTCGCAGCGAGGCAGCTCTGCCTCCTCCACCCCACTCCCCCGGCGCCCTGGCTCCTGCCCCGGGGCCGCACAGGCCTGTCCTCCTGCATCTCACCTGGACCCTTGGACCCCTGACCCAACCCCCACTCCTACCCTGTGCCTCAGTCTCTCCTGGAGGCCTGGGGGAGGGGTTTCCTCACTGAAAGAAGGGGCCCCCAGCAGGACCCCCTACTTCTCAGCCCAGCTCCAACTCCACCTTTTTAAAAGGAATTCTCAGGTGGACAAGCGGGGTGGTGAGCACCAGTCATCAATCCCAGCACTCTGGGAGGCTGATGCAGGAAGACTGCCAACCAGAGCCCAGCCTGGGCAATTTATCAAGACCCTGTCTCAAAATAACAAGGAAAAAGGTCTGGGGGTGCAGCTCAGGCACTGGGTTCCATCCTCTGTGTGAGGAAGGAAAGGGGAAGAAGAGAGGGAAAAGGAAGGGAGGGAGAGAGGGAGGGAGGCAGGCAGGCATCTCTCTGTAGACTGTCTGGAAAGGTGCCGCCCACCCAAGCAGAGCAGCCTGGAGGTCGCATCCCCCATACAACTGCGACTGCTCTCCAGCCCAGCTGAGGGTCTCACGGCCGGCCGCCAATACACCTCTTGGCGCTAAACACTGGAAGGAGCCCCAGGGTCGCCCTGGACCAGCCTGGCAGAACACAGAACCCGCAGGGCAAACGCCACAGGGCACAGCCCAAGGTTCAGGGAAGCCACCCCTCCCACCCCTCCAGCCAGCCCGGCCTCCTGGCCCTGGCCCGGGGCGCCCTCTTGTGGACAGGACTCCACTCATACCCCGCGGCCCTGCAGCCTGGGATCCCAAGGGGACCAGGAAACCAGCCGCGGGTGGGGGCGGGGTGGGGGCCAGAGTGGCCTTGGGGGACCCCAGGGTGAAGCCCAGCAAGGAAGGGAGAGATCGCTGCATAGCTGGAGGACCCCACCCCTCCAGGACCCGGAGAGCCACGCCTGGGCGTATGGGGCCCCAGCCCAGGGCTGCTCAGTGGCCAGGGGGTGGAGGGACCTGCGGCCAGGAGGAGCCAGCGCCCGGGCTGGCTCAGGCCTGCAAGGTCATCCACGGCTCCATCTGACCTTGAGACTAATCCTGAGTCTCCGCCAGCCCCATTCCTCCTCTCCCCTGGCTCGGTGGCTAATTGCTTGACGTTGATTTGATCTCTCGTGCCGCACAAAGGAAATTGCCCTCTTAGCCATTTGCAGTTGGGATTTTTTTTTAATCAGGCCTTCCCTGGCCTCCCAGGTCCCTGGGAGGTGAAGCCACTACCACCCCTTCCTCTGTCCTCCTTGGGGCTCAGGTGGCCCCATGGGACCCTTTGCAGCCTAAGCCTGTGTCCCCATCTTGGGTGAGGTCCTGACCCCTCCCCACCACAGCAAAGACCCCAGGCAAGGATGTGCAGCGATCGGCCCACGGCCCCCAAGCGCACAGGACTGCGGAGGCCTGTGCTCCTGACCCCTCCGAAGGTAGCTCACCGGGGTCCCTTTCCCACAGCGCTGCCAGCCGTCTGTCCTGCTGGAGGGGCCACACGGGGAAGAGCTGGAAGCGCTGTGCCAGGACAGGGGCAGCTGACCAAGACGTCCCAGAGATGCCACGAGGGACAAGGGGCCTGGCTCAGGAGCAAGGCCGTCCCCTGCCTCCTCCGGCCAGCAAGGCGCCGGCCACAGCGGGAGGTGCGGGTCCGGCGTGGCGGCAGCGCCACCTTGTGGCTGCGAGGGACAACGCCCCCGTTGACACCCAAACCTGCCCTCTTACCGCGGAGGAGCTGTGCGGTTCTGGGGGACCTCCGTGTTTGTCCGCTCCTCTGCACCCCCTAACACTTCAGGGAGCACCCAAACTCTGAATCCCTGCCACCTGCCCTAGGCCAGCGCCAAAGAGACAGGACCAGAGGTACAAAGCACAGTGTTTACTAAAGGCACAAAGTGGGGGTCCGGAGAGGGGGGAGCTGCTCTGCCGGCAGTGACCCTTCAGCCCCGGACCCAACCTTCTCTTCTGGCCACACCGCCCTCACCCCACGGGGAGAGCTGTTAGCACCAAAGGCGGGTAGGTGCCCACCTGCGGGGTGGCCGTGGAGCCCCAGAAAGCGAGCCTGAGTGCTCGGGCAGATGCGGCCTCCCAGGCGCTCCCCGAAGGCCCTGCTGCCCGACACCCAGCACCCGGGCCGGGGCCGGGGCTCCTCCTACCCCAGGCCACTGTCTCCTCCCTGCCCCTGCAGTCTGCTTCCACCCAGTCCAGCGACAGGGCTGCCCCTGGGGCGCTCTCAGGACCCCAGGGGCTGCCGGGCGGGCGCGGAGTCCGCGGAGGGGCCGCCTGCGTCACAGCACGTCGCCCTCCTCCATGCTGAAGCTGCTGCGGCGGCTGCTGGCCTTGGAGGCCTCGGGGGACATGGTGGAGAAGAGGGGGTCGGAGGCGAGCGGCAGCAGGGAGTCGTCGAGGAGCATGAGGTCCAGATCCTTCTTGGACAGGTTGGGGAAGCCGTGCTCGGGCCCCAGGGGGTCGGGGTAGGCGGCGGGGCCCTCATCACCCCCGTCCCCGAAGCTCAGGCTGTGGCTGAAGTCCAGGTGCTGGAACGGGGACGGGGGCTCGGCAGGCGGGGGCAGCAGAGCCTGGGGAGGCAGCGACGGCAGCGGCTCGGGCTCGGGGACCTCGGCCCCCAGCATCAGCGTCTCGGCCGGGGCCTCCTCGCCGGGCATCTCCTGCTTCACCACCTGCTGGGCCAGCTCGGCCATGTTCACCCCTGACGGCGACGTGGTGGGGAGGCCGTGCACCCGCGCCTGCATCTCCAGCTCCTGCGGGGCGCGGGACACAGGGCTGAGCACAGCTGCGGGCGGCTCTTCCCTGGGCCCCGGGGTCTCCCACCCCGGACAGCCGCTCTGGCGTCTAGACGGGGGCTGTCTCAAACTGCAAGTCGCAGCTCATTAGCGGGTTGAGAAACCGCGCTGGGTCTTGGGGCTTGACTGGCTCGCTGTCTCCGTTTTCAGAGTGAAATAGACGTGTCCAGACTGCACCCGAATGGAAATGATCGCAATGCGCTACCTCAATTCAGCACGGCTTTCCTGTCATGAGGCCTGGACTTTTCACCTGGAGCCGTGTCCGAGTGTGCTGGGTTTGATGGGAATTGCTCCGTCTCCCATGACAAATACACACTGCAAAGCTGCGGCCCAGTCGCCCTCGGCATAGAGCGCTGGCCTGGGGCCCATGGGGACAGGGAGCCCTCCGTGCAGAGGTGGGACTGGAACCAGACGCTCAGGGGGTGCGGCTGACACTCGGGAGCCTGGTGACTCCCAGTCAGTTCTAGGCACACAGTAGGACTGCACCTTCCTCCCCCTGAGGTCAGGTACAATGGCTAAGCACAAGTGACCCATGGCACCTTACAGGGACATGTGACAGGAAGAGCCCCTCTAGCTATGTCAGGTCCCGGAACCTAGTACAGCCAAAGGTCTTTGGGATCACGTGTCACCAAAGCCTCGCGTGGGGCCGACCACCCTGCCTCCTCTCCCAACTTCAGGGGAGTTGGCCCTGCCCCGGGGTCTGGACCCGCCCGCTACCCAGGAAGCCCGGGTTGGGGTTCGGACCTGGATACGCAGCCAGAGCTGCTTGTTGGTCATCTCCAGGCGCCTGGAGTGGCTTTCCAGTTCTCGCGACTTCTGCAGATCCTTCTGCATCCTCCGGATGTAGTCCACAGACGCCTTGAGGATGGTGCCCTTGTTCCAGCGCACATCCCTGCGGCCAGGACAGCCGGGCAGTCAGAGCTGAACGCCCAGGTGCAGACCCTCTGCTCCGACCTCGCCAGCCCCCGCTCCACGCCCCGCCTCCAGGCCCCTCCAGGCCTCCCAGCAGGACGCCTCCTCCAGGGAACTTCCCCGGGACCCCTGGCTTCCCGATAGAGCCGTCTGTCTTGGGCTTTCCTGACTGGGGAAGCAGGTGAGGGGGCCCTGGAAGAGATTCGCCCCCAGGTACCTGTCCCTACCCCAAGCCCCACTCACAGGTCGCTGGCCTTGGGGATCAGCATTCCTAACTCCTTGATGCGGTCATTGATGTTGAACCTCCGCCTCCTTTCAACTGCAGGTGGCAGATTCCAGAGGCAGCAGTTAGAGGGTGGGGACCCCCTTGGGGCAGCGCCAGCCCAGGGAGAAGAAGGGGGACTCAGCAGACTGGGACTCCCAGGGTCTAGGGGTCAGGGCTCAGGCCAGTCACAATGTGGAACCGGTGAGTAGGAGGACCTCCTGCCAGCTACCAGCCCAGCCCTCTGCCTGGGGTGAACTCCTACCCCTCCCTCAATAGCCCCAGGGGCCTTGCTCCAAAGGTCACCATGAATAAATGGGATTTCGGGAACAGCCCTTCCCAGCAGCCTCTCAGCCCCTCCTGGAAGGGACCAAGGCTTCTTACAGGGCAGGGTGGGATCCCCTTGCAGGGAGGGCACAGGTGGCTGCAAGGGTCTGGAGCTAGGGGAGAACCCCAAGTGCAGGCAGGGACAGGTGACCGTGGAGAGGGCGGCAGCACTCACTGAGATTGTGATTGTCCTTCTTCTGCCGCTCCTTGGCCAGCGCCCGGCTTTCAGCATCTGGATTGGGGTGGGAGAGGAGAGCTGTGGAACCCTGGGGCGGAGGAGGCGGGGACCAGGTGGGCGGGAGATGGGGGCCGCAGTACCTGTGAGCTCCTGCTTCTGGGTCAGGTCGGCGGGGCAGGAGCTGCTGGTGACCCCCACCAGGGAGGCTGTGACCTGGGGATCGCTGCTGTACACGTTCAGGTGGCTGCTGGACAGGGGCAGCTGTGGGGCGGGGTGGGGGAGGCCTTGGTGAGCCATGGGGCACCCCCTGCAGGGCCTGGGGTCCCAAGAGCTGCCAGGAAGAAGCCCTGGGCCCCCTCCCCGGAAGTGCAACCTGGGGAAGCCAGAGAGCAGCCCTGCCCTCCGGAGCGGGAATGGGACGAGGGAGGGGCCCGGCTGAGCCAGAGGCTCCCGGTTTCCTGGAGGGTGTGGAGCCCCAACGAGTCCTGAGCCGGGAGGAGGAGGCAGGGGCAGCACGGCAGAGGCCAGCGGTCCAGTGCGGGTGCCAGCAGCTTAGGGCCAAGTTGCTGGGGTGAGGGGCGAGGCAGGGACGAGAGAGGCAGCCCGCTTCTGGAGCGCTGTGGTCTGTTTTTGTTTTTGTTTTTTGAGACAGGGTCTTGCTATGCAGCCCAGGCTGACCTTGAACTTGCTGCAATCCTCCTGCCTCAGCCTCCCAAATGCTGGGATTACAGGCATGTGCCATCATGCCTGGTTTATATTTTGGGTTTTTTTTGGTTTGTTTTGCGGTAATGGGGATTGAACCCAGGGCCTTTACGCAGAGCTACATCCACAGGGCTTTAAAAAATGTTTTTATTTTGAGACATGGTCTGGCTAAGACGTTAAACTGCCCAGCCTAGGTTCGAATTTGTGATAGTTCTGCCTCAGCCTCCCAGAGTGCTGGGATGACAGCCGTGCACCACTGAGCCCGGGTACTGCAGAGCGCAGCCAGGGAAGGTTTAAGCAGAGACAGATCCGGGGTCTGGAAAGACCTCCCCAGCTCCAGCCACAGACACAGATCCGGGCAGGGACACTCAGCAGTGTGCACGGAGCTACCGCTGGGACGGACGCCGGCACCTCCCCCTTCCCTCGGCCCCTGCCAGCCGCGCTCTGGCCCCAGCCGGTCCTGGCCAGCTCTTTCAGAGCCACTGGCATAGTCACCAGGGCTGTGGGGCCTGGGGCCCGCTTCCTGCTCCCCTGCACGGCCAGGGCTGGGACAGGGAGTAGAAGGCCCCAGCGAAGGAGCTGGGCCTTCACCACGGGGTGCGTTCCACCCCGGCAGAGCTTGCCTTTGACTTCTCTCATCTGATCACCCCACAGCCCGGTGGGTACACGGCCGCCCCATGCTGCCGCTGAGGACACTGGGACCTCTGGAGCCCAAGGGAAGCTCCTGCCCACCCAGCGCCCCTCCCTGTCTGGAAGACCTAGAGTGTCACAGGCCAGGATGCTGCCAGCAGAGGGGTCCTGGTGCTGGGGACAAGACACCCCCACACAGTGAGGGTCGTGGACCCCTGTCTCTGGGCCCTGACCTGGTGCGGTGTGGAGCCCCAGATCAGCGCCAGGGCTTCTTGTGGACACGCTGCCCCCCTGGAAGTTCCCAGTGCAGCCACCCTCAGCCTGGCCCTCCTGCTCTGCGTCCAGCACAGAGAGATTGGCGGAGACTCTGGTCTCCACAGGTAGGGGCTAGTGGGGCCCCCGCTGAGCTCTGCAACTCAGCCACTGCAAGTCCCCTGTACCCGCCTGCCCGCCAGCCCTCGGGTACCGTGTTGGGCGTCTGGAGCTCGGGGTTCATGTAGCCCAGCACGCTGTCCAAGCGCATGATGTTGTCGATGACGTCATCAAACTGGAAAAAGGAAAAGGCTGGGTAGAGGGGACCCGGGGAAGGACAGGGATGGGGACAGAGGGACAGTGCTGCCCTGAAGGGCCTGGAGCCGCTATGTCCAACCTGCTCACCTAGGAGAGGACCCCAAGTGGCACACCCGACCCCGAGGACAGGCAGGGCCCTTTTCTAGGAGCCAACCTGCCCAGGAGGCCAAAACGCCCCACTCCGTGGCTTGGTAGGCACAGAGATCTCCTGTGTGCAGGGCTTTCTTCCTGTCTTTTTTGTTTGTTTGTTTTTTGAGACAAGGTCTTGCCATATAGTTCAGGCTGGCCTCAAACTTTGTCCAGGCAGCAATCCTCCTGCCCCAGCCTCCCGAGTGCTGGGATTACAGGGCTTTCAAAAGTCAGGGCGGTGCACACCAAGGACGGGGCTGTGTCCCTCCGAGGACGGGGCTGCAGCCCCCCACACTCAGGCTCCCCCGGGGCTCCCCTCTGCTCTGTCTCCCCACCCCCTGCTCACCTCCTTCTCGGGGTTGGAGCCTATGTGGAGCATGGCCATGGGGCTGTTGGGCGCGCTGTTGCCAGCCGAGGTGGACAGCACATGTCCGGCATGTACCCCAGGAGAGGCGGCAGGCGGGGGCTTCGGGGAGCCCTGGGCGGGGCTGACCCGGGCTGCGAACTTGTTCCCGTAGGTCTCAGACAGGTACTCCCGCACCTTCTGATGCTGGGACTGTTGCAGGTGGTAGGAGGTCGGGTTCTCCAGATAGGACTGCACCTGGGGGAGGGGACAGCTGTAGCGGGGCCAGGCGGAGGGCGGGGGCCTGGGATCCAGGGGCGTGAGGCCCTACCTTGAGCACCTCACCAGGCACCGGTGGCGGTGGCTGGAAGGGCACCGGGGTGCTGATGGCGGGCGAGGGCGGGGCCCCAAGCTGCTGCTGTTGTTGCTGCAGGAACTGGACCACGGCCGCCTGCTGCCGCCGCTCGCGCTGCTCCTCCTGCTGCGCCTGCTCCCGCATGAGCTGCATCCGCAGCCCGATGCGCGACGCCATGGTGGCCGGTGGCTCCCTGAGGACGCAGGGATAGGATCCTGTGAGGCACTGCGCCCCCTCACAGTCCAGGGTCTCCTCGAGGAGCTGGTACATGTTTGGGGGCTCCCATGGCTCTGGAGGGGACTCGGAACCTTCAGTGGAGAAGGGACCGGTCCACAGCCGCGGGGCCGGCTGGCTGCTGAGCTGGGCCATGCGCCTGGCCGCTCTGCGCAGAGACCTGAGCAGCTTGCTTGCTCTGCGCACGGGTGGCCGCACTCGATCCGGTGTCAGCCTTGACTCCTCTGGGTCCGTCCCTATCCCGGCTCTGGCCGCGCCCAGGTCCTCAGGGCCTGGTGGGCGTGGCCCTGCTGCCTTCCCCAAGCCCTCACAGCTTCCCTCCCACGGCTAGGTGACTCCACAGATCTTGTCCAAACCCAAGTCAGCTCCTGTCCTGCTCCCTGCCCACAACCTTCCATGGCTCCCACTTCCCCCAGCAGCATCACCAAAGTCCTCGCCATGGTCATGCCGCCCCATGCTTCCCCCTGCTCGCCACCTGGTTCCCTCCACCACCCCTAATGCCCCTGGGCCTGTCCCCACCAAGGGCTCCTGCACTTGCTGGTCCCTGCGGCCAGGAATGCTCTCTCCCTGATATCATCAAGGCTCCCTCCTTCACCCCCTCCGAGGCGCAAACATCACCTTACCACATCGTTCCCTGCTACTCTGCTGACCGACCCCCAACAGCCAGCACCCCACACACCCTCAGCCCTCGGTTTCCCGTATCGCTCGTTGCCATCTTAAATGCTATGCATTGCAAAGAGCTATCCCCTGTGTGGTCCCCAGGAGGAATGCACATGTCCCCAGGGGCAGGCATGCTGTTTGTTTACTGCTGTACCTTCCGCCTCCAGCCCACAGCCCAGGTCCGAGATGCAAGGTCCGTGCGTGAGGAGAATGCACATCATGGATTAGCCAGGAACTGGGGGTGCAAGGGTAGTCCCAGTAGGTGAGGGGAGGCCACCGGAGATGACAACCTGGAGCTCCAGCCAGGCGGCCACTGCAGGGCCACCAGGGCCAGGGACACCGGCCCCATCCGGCTCAGCCCAGTCTTCAGTAGGGCAGGAGTGACAGAGGCCCCCAAGCCTGGCCAGGAGGCGGGAGGGTGGGGCGGATGGTCCCACAGCCCGTGCAGCTGTCACTGCTTGACGTGGCCCTGGGCAAATCCCTGCTCCTCCAGGAGCCTCCGGATAGGAGCTGGACACAGGGTTCCCGGGGCCTTCCCAGTGGGGATGCATGAACCTGGGTGGAGTGGCCAGAGGGTCTTTGTCTTGGGGATTCCACCAGGGGCCCTTCGACCTCATGGTTGAGCAAGGCCTTGTTGTTGTTGTTTGAAACAAGGTCTCACTGTGCAGTTCAAGCTGGCCTTGAACTTACTATGTAGCCCAGGCTGGCCTCAAACTTGTAGTGATCCTCCTGCCTCAGCCTCCTGAGTGCTGGGATTACAGGCGTGAGCCACCATGCCCGGCATGAGCAAGGGCTTTCCAAAAGGGCAGATGTGGGCTTGAATCCTGGGTCTGCCATTTCTTTGCTGTGTGCTCTTGAGCAAGTCCCTTAACCTCTCAAACCTGTTTCCTCTCCTAAAAAGTTTCCACTTAAGAAGATACAAAATCAAGTGAAAATAATGTTGCACATGGTGGGGGGCTCCGGGCTGCTGCGTGGCTGACACCCGAATAAGCACCAGCCTGCAGGGGAGCTCGACTGTGCAGACCGGCAGGCAGCGCCGCACCCTGGGCTGCACCGGACCTTGGGGCTAAGGGAGGCGACAGTGCAGGTGTGGATTTATCTGAATGCCTGCTGTGGGTCAGGCACGGTTTTCAGCCCCTGCACATCTAAAGCCCTCTGAAGAGTCAAGCATGGCGGTGCACACCTGTAACCCCAGCACTCAGGGGGCTGAGGCAGGAGGGCCACAGAGAGTTCAAGGCCAGCCCGGGAAATATAGCGAGACGCTACCTCAAAAAGCGAAAGAAAGGGAGATGCACCCTGAGAAGTCTTGGTTACCACCCTTCCTTCCCAGGAACAGAGGCACAAGGAGGGCAGAGCCTGAGGCGGCCCACCAGCCCCGCCCTGCCCCCGACAGAGGGCGCCCTGTCTGCACATCCCACGGACCGCAGCTGCACTGGGCAGCCCTCCTGGGACAGGCCGGCTTCAGTAGCCAGGCGGGGGCTTCGGGCCTGGCCGTGCCAGCCGGCTCAGCGGGCGGGGGAGAAGGATGCCCTTGTTCCCTGGACAAAGGGCCGAGCGCCTCATCAGGTCTGCTGGGGCAGCTGCTACTGCGCTAGACCCCCGGTCCCGTGGCCCTGCCTGCTGGGGCCTGGGCCCTCTGTTACCATTCTCGATGGCAGGGGCGAGGGCAGAGGGACCCTTGCCCACTCCCTGGCACCTGCCTGGCGGCCACGTCCCACAACAAATGGCAGACTTCTCCTGGCCTGGCGCCCAGCCTGGCCTGCTGCATGGGATGCCTGTGGGGTGAAAGCTGGGATACCGGCGCTTGGCGCAGACAGCAAGGTCCACGGGAGAACCAGGCATGGGAACCCTGCCCTCGGCCCACCTGCTCACCCCCTAAGCCCAAGTCTGGTGCTCCACGCCTGGAAAGTGGTCACTGAGTGCACTCAGGACTGGCTGCCACCCGGCTGCCTCTCCCCAGGCAGCACCTCCTCCAACAGGACAGGGTCTGTCCATCCCTCCCAGGGCCACAGCAAGGAGACACAGTGGGTGCCTGGAACTCGCTGCCTTCAGACACTGCAGTGGGGTGGTCCTGGCCTTCTCTGGTCAAGGTCAGAGCTGGCTTCCCTATCCTATGTGTGCACTTCCCTGTCAGTCATTTACACCTTAGTATGAATAAGCTGGTCAGAACCATCCCTAAGGTAAGTGGATGGAGTAGTTGGAGAGACGAGGAGAAATCACTGGACTACAGGAGGGCCAAAGGGGATCCCAGAGCAGGAAAGTCTCAGCAAGAGGAAGGGGCAGGACAGAAGCGATCATGAAAGAGAAAATGAAAACTGCAGAGAGAAATACACAGCCCCGGCCCATTTCGGCAGAAAGCAGGTTCCCATGCAGAGATGAGAAGGATCAGAAGGCGGGGGTCACTCACTGCTCAGCACTTGCCCCAGGGCTGTTCACACGAATTCACTTATTCTTCACCTCAGCCCTGTGAGGAGAGGACGGGCACTGCCCCCACTTTCCAGAGGGGAAACTAAGGCACAACGAGCTGAAGTAACTTGTCCCAGATGCTGCAGCTGACAGGAGCAGAGTACAGGTTCGAAACCCAGCAGCCCCGCTCACAGCCGGTTCCCATTCACCCCTCTGGTGAGTGAACACTCTTCCCAGTGTCCACTCTGGGGCTGGGGGATTGTCTTCCCACTTAGGAAGAGCCTAACTCTTCCGCCATCAGTGTGTGTGGCCTGTGTGAGTCTTTTTTTTTTTTTTTTTAACCAGGAATCAAACTCAGGACCTTGCGCTTGCCAGGCAGGCGCTTGTGCCGCTGAGCTATCTCCCTGGCTGTGTGAGTCTTTATTTATGTATTTACTTTTCCAGTACTGGGGATTGAACCCAGGACCTTTACGCTGAGCTACAGCCTGGGCCCTTTTATTTATTTATTTTTTGTCTTTTTGAGACACGGTATTGCTATGCAGTCCAGGCTGGCCGTGGACTCACTTTGTAGCCCAGGCTGGTCTTAAACTCACAACAATCCTCCCGCCTCAGCCTCCCGAGTGCTGGGATTACAGGCGTGCACCACCACACCCAACTTCAGGCCCTTTTAGACGAGAGTCTCACTAAACTGCTCACAATGGGCTCAAACGTATGATCCTCCTGCCTCAGCCTTCCAGAGGGCTGGGATTACAGATGTGTGCCTGCGTTGGAAGGGGCCTCTGGAGGAGAAGGGAACCTGGCTCTCCTGCCCGGCCCCACCCTGCCCTGTTTTGCACCATAGGCCCCTCTGGGGTACACAGCTGGCGCTCTTGGCTGGTGGGGCCTGGGCCTCCTGAGGACTTCGCTGCCTTCCAGGTAGGTGGTCCTTTGGAAACGGGAGCAGGGAGCCGAAACACAGCTGCTCTGTGACCCAGCGCCTGCGCTCCCGCCACGAGGCAGGCCCGGCAGGGACACCTTGGTGTGTTCACCACCGCGCATCCAGCAGCCTGTTCCCGGAAGGCGGTGCCCTGGACGGGAGCCCGAACCGGAAACCGCCCAGATGGCCAGGGAGGAGAGCAGAGGGAAGAGGTCCGGGGTGAATGCAACCCAGCCAGAGCGCAGCCAGCTGCAGCTGCAGCCAGCACGGGACGGCCCAGGCCTCAGATATGGGGCATTACGACAGCCGCCAGAAGCAACGAGGCGCGAGCACCGGCCCCGCACAGGCAGCTCCAAAACAGGCCAAACAAACTCACTGTGGGAGGAGGCAGGAACCAGGCGAGCCCTGGGGACACCCTGCAAGGGACACGGGCGGCTCGGCGGGTCAGGGGACTGGGGACACTGCGATCTGTGCAGGAGCTGGCGAGGCGAGATTGTCTTGTTTACGGCCATGCATCCAGCTGCTCCGTTACCATGTTTTCTTGTTTTTAATTTAAAAAATTGCACAAGAGAGGGAGGGGAGGGAGGGGAGGGGATACAAAAGAACTAAGATGAGTTACATACACACAGGTACCGACTCCCCACGGGGAGTGTGTGATCGTTATGTTTGCCAAGCATGTCCTAATAAGCATAAAAAATTGCTCAAGAATCACGCAACAATGAAGACAGACTTTTAAAAGTTTAAAAGAAGAGTTAAGCAAACAACCTTCACCCACCACCCCTCCCCAAGCGTAGCCGAGACACACCGCGATTCCCGCCGGCACCTTGGTGAGATGTGTCAAAGCCTTAAAAAATACTCACTGACCCTAAATGCAGGAAGCATCTGTGTGCAGAAAGATGCGGTCCCAGAGAAAAGCAAAAACTCGGCTCGACATCCAGCAATTACAGAGGTGAGTAAATGACAGTGAGCCCCTGGAT